GGGTGAAACTGTCTCACATTAGCAGAACAGGCCAGGAAGCCAAACAGGCTAAAACAGAACGGGGAATAGTTTCCTAGCGTTCAGGCACATATTGGCTACCCAAGGCACACTGTGCTCAGGAACAAAAAAGAGAAAAAGAGAACCCAAGTTGCTGTTTGGTCACCTGTAGAGACCAAAAGCAAAGGGCAGGGCTGTGGGGTGGAACACAGGTCCAGACTGAGGGAAGAGATTCCGGATTCTCAGCGAATCACCTTGACTGAGGTGGGAATCCTCATGGCCGGCAGATAGGACATCTTTCAGACCAGCTAGAAGTGGGCGTAACAGTGACCCCCCCCCCCCCAGCAGCTCTCCACAAACATTTGTTAAATAAACGAATTCCTTGGGTGGAGCTGGTTTAACGTCCATAAATCTGGTTTCTTTCCCTTGCCTTTCTAGACTCTAGACAAACTGGGAACCCTTGTCCTTTGGGTGAGACGCTATTCATTGGATCACAGCTTTTCTGATAGTGGCTGTGTTTTATTCTCCCGGGTGGAGGCCTGGTGATGAACTGGGGGAAATACCCTGTTCTCCTTGGTGATGTTTACAGCTCTTCCTGTCCCTGCCACCCGCTGCCGTCCAGGTCACTGGCATTCCCCTGAGCGCCTCAAACTTAACAATGGTGACTTGGGGGCCCCGGGTGGCTCAGGGTTGGCCTCTGTCTACTATCTGGGGCGTCTTGCAGGTCTGCCTCCCCAGGCAGAGGTTGAGAGCACATATTCCTTTGGAAAGGTGATTATTGTTTTCATACGTTTTTGTTTTGTTTCATTCTAAAGCTGTATTAAAAGGCTGGGGGTGTAGCTTGGTGGTAGAGTACTCGCACCACCACCACCACCAACAACAACAGTAACAACAGAAAAACTGCATTCGATTGTTCATCTCCTTAACAATTTCAGTTTTCTGCTTCTCAAACAACAAAGCAAACCAGCTGGCCAAGGCTGCACGCCTCCCAGGGGACATGGCTTGATTCACCTCCAAGGATACACCCATCTCCTTGGAGTCATTCTTGAGGCAAGACACTCGGCCAAAGAACATGAGGACAAACCCATTGTCCTCTTGTTGCCAAAGCTCAGGAAAGCTCACCATCCCTTGGCTGGCTGTGAACAGGCTGGGTGATGGGTTCTGGGCTCAGGCACGTGGGGAGGAAGCAGCCACTTCCATTTGCCTTGGATGATCTTGGCCGGACTGCAGCTGTTCCCTCACCTATCTCATAGCCTCTGGATAAAATGCCAGTCACTTTCCTTTCTCAGAAAGCTTCAAGAAATCAGTTGAAGTGCTGGGCCGGTGGTGCACACCTGGCATCCCAGAGGCTCTGGAGGCTGAGGCAGGAGGATTGGGAGTTCAAAGCCAGCTTCAACAACAGTGAGGCTCCAAGCAACTCAGTGAGACCCTGTCTCTAAATAACATACAAAATAGGGCTGGGGATGTGGCTCAGTGGTTGAGTGCCTCTGAGTTCAATCCCCAGTACCATAAAAAAAAAAAAAAAAAATCAGTAGAAGGGTTGCAGATGTAGCTCAGTGGTAGATCTCTGGCCTAGCAAGCATGAGGCCCTGGGTTCCATTCTCAGCATCAAAAAAAAAAAAAAAAAAGACATCAATAGAGAAAAGGTTCGAAACTCTAGTCAAGGGGAGCTTTATCTCCTGCCTACCCAGCAGAATCCTGACAAATCTCAGTAACCGTACACTTGGCTTTAGAAGGACCCCTGCACCCCTAACCATCTGATGCTCTTCCAAGTAAAGGCTCATGCTGTCGGTTTCCTTGAGAGGCTCCGGAGTAGCAGGAATGGCAAGGCTTCCGTGGAGAGGAAGGGGCCTCTGTCAGACTCACTAAGTGAGCTTCACAAGAGCAGCATAGTGTCCTTGAGTTCCCGCTCCCTCCCGGCACTCCCCTGCAATACTTTCACAAGTTGTAACCTGGCTGCCTGGCTCTCCAAAGCCAGAAATATGACAAATATTCAGATAAGCCAGTGGAATTCAGAGCGCAGGTCTGTGATTTCGTGAAGACTGCAAAGCACGCTCTGGGCTAATATCTCCTCCCCAAAGCAGCAGAGTTCAAATCCTGCACCCAGCAATGTACCCCTGTGCAGAATGAATTCAAGAATTCCACTCATAAAGGGATAGCGTGGTATGTAATGTACAGTTATGATATCCTTAGAAAATTTTTGCTTTCATGTTTAAGAGGCTTAAGGTGAGGCTCATTTTTAGTTTCAAGTTCAACTTTTTTTTTGTAATGGCAGAGTAGTGTTGTAAAAAGAGTTTGAGGTTTGGCATCAGACCCATTTCTGAATCCCCAATTCTGGCATATTCTGAGGTAATGTACAGTTTACAGGAGATGTAACGGATTAAATGAGGTAGTTGGTGACATTCCTAGCACATGACGGGGGGGGGGGGGGATAGAAATGCAGGGCAGGCCATACCCTTCCTGCTGATCCAGCCATCCTCTCTTAAGGTTGGAGGTCTTTATAATTCCCTAGGACAGTCACTCTCAGGCTGCTCATTCACAGCGGTGGAGAGAAGGAGTTAGTCCTCTTGGCCATGTCTGTACTTAGCCTTCTCCTGTCTGGACACATTTTTTAAACATGTGCTTTTCTATATTAGATGCTATTAGAGTCTTGTACTCCCCTGTTATGTACAGGACTTCCTCCCGAAGTCTCAAAGAGACCCGACCTTTATTAAATACCTCAAGTGCAACAAATCCTTAGCAGCTCACAAAGATTTCAGGGCCTCCAAAACTGGCAAGAAGTTCGGGGAAATCACAGGGAAATCCATTCGCTGCATGATTAATCCTGGGTGAGTTGGTCCCGGAAAAGCACACATGGGTTGGCAGCAAGCAACGGCTTGCAGAATTTCACAAAACAAACTGTCTAACGGACGGGCCCCAAAGTACGTGTTTTGGACCAAAGTTCAGAGTGAGGGTGGGGCCGGACAATTGAGGAAAACGCCAGATGTGTGGACAACCGTCTTCTTTTGAATCCACGAACGCCCCAAGAGATGACACATGGGACCAGATTATAAAACTGAACCAGATTATAGCACTAGATGGGAGAAACCCAGTAGGGCCCAGTACCCTAAGAGAAGGATAATAACATTCATCACCATAATTGCCCCCAGCCCAGCTCCCCAACAATAGCTCAGCTCAATGAAGTTAGTCATCCATATTCAAGTCGCCTCACTCATTATTCCCAGACAAAAACCCTGCTGGGCCTCAGCTCCTGCCCAGTGCAGCTTCCACACACAGCCACCCCCGCCCCTCCCCAGGCTGCCCACCCCAATGGGGCTTCTTTCTTTCTTTTTTTTCTCCAGTCCTGGGGATGGAACCCAGGGCCCCCCACACATTAGGCAAGTGCTCCACAGCGGACTCCATCGCATCCCAGCCCGCACCCCCGCCCCCCGCATCCCAGCCCCGGGCTGGCCTTGATTCTTTATCAGTGGACTTTCTAGCTATTTTTTCAAAGATTGCACACCTCCTTCTAGGAGTACTTCTGATGTTTAGGAACTGGCTGGACATGATTACAACTAACCCTAGCCCTGGGGGAAACAAAGGACCAGGAAGCCTAGGCCTGTGTTTCCTGGGATGCTAGGATGTGTGGCTCAGGTAGGTTCCTCCCTCACCTGCTGAGTACAAAATGTTGTCATGTGCACATTGTCTGGCCAAAACAGAAACAAAATAAAGAACTGTATATATTCCAGTGGAAAGAGAAGTTCCAAAGATAGGACAACCATGAATAGCTCATGGCCCCTGTAAACAGAGTGGTTCAGTCTCTTTGAAGCAGACACCCTGGCACAAGAGCACTCTGTATAATTTCCCTAAGTCTAGGGGTTCTTGTCTGCCCTGGAATTATAGAAATGCAGGCTGGGCACCCTGGAGACCACACCCTCTCCAAGAAAGACTCTCCTGGGGCTAGGCCTACCTAGATCTTCAATATGGAAAACCTTCAGCAACCTCCAGCCTCAAAGATCAATAGCTTGCTAACAATTCCTTCAGTCAATATTTGGTGAGCAACTATTATTATCAGACATTGTCCTGACCCTGGGGAGCAAACCTAGATGCATCGGAGTCCTCTGGAGCTTACATACCATCAGGGAAACAGACACAGATAAAAATCCCAGAAAAGGAGTAAAATACTTAAAGGTGTTCATGGAGATCAGCACACAGCACACTAGGAAGAAGGGGGCAAGAGATAAGGAGGGGCAAGAAGAGGACACAGGGGAGGGGAACGTGTGGATGGTGGCCTGGCCATCAGACTGAGTCCACTTAAAGTCCAAGGAGTCACAGACAGGAATTCTGTCATTGACATTTTGGGCCCGTTCAATATATGGCCCCAAACCCACTTAAACCTCAAGGTTTGTAACAGTGCTCCAGGGCTGGGGTGTAGCTCAGAGGCAGAGCACTTGCTTAGCTTGCTCCAGGCCCTGGACTGGGTCCCAGCACTGAAGAAAGAGAAAGCAGAACAACAGTCTTCCATTCACCCCCCCCCCACCGCACCCAACACACAGTACCTTCCCTTAAGAGGTGAGGCCTCTTCCAGTCTGTCCCCAAGAAGGTGGGGCACACAGGGGAGACCTAGGCCACCGCAGCGGGGACACTCTCCCAGGACCAGCCCTCCTGATTGGGATACTGGGGAAAGCCCAGGGGCTCTAACCTAGGCAGAAGCCCCTGGTTGTCATCTTCTGTGAGCTTATCTCTTGTGAGCTGACCCTTTGGGCGGCCCCTTCTGTCCCCACTCTGGCCGCCTGTGGATTCCAGGGCGCCTCCTGCCACACCCACTCCGCTGTTTCTTTGGTGTCCCCAGCTAAGCCGCTCGTGGGCTCCTCTCCTCCTCCGGGATGCGGGGCCGGCTCGCGTGCAAGCGCACCCCCGCGCTCCCCCGGGCGACCTCAGACCCCGGGCCCAGCATTGCAGCAAGTCTCCGCTCGCGGGTCCCCCACCAGCAACTGCTGGCGGCCACGATCGCTGGCGCTTACCTCCCTGCGCCGGGACCCAGAGCCACGCGCTCCCCAAAACCAAGAGCAGCACGGGAGCCTTCCACATCTTCCCCGCAGACTCGTCCTCTCTGTGGCCGCCTGAGGTGTCCGTGCTGGGCAGATGGAGAGGCGAGCAGCCTGGGCCCAGCCTGGAGGAGCGCGAGCCTGGGGTGGCCGAGTTCCCGGGCCGCGGCAGCACCGGGCGCAAACTTCGCAGCTGGCAACTTGGGAGCCGAGTCAGCGTTTATCTTTCCCGACGAGGGCGGGGAGCGGGTGGGCGTCAGGTGGTCCCGGCCGGGCGCACTGGGACCGCCCTCGGGCTCTGTTTGGCTAGCGCCAAAACGATGATCTCGGGCCAGGTTTAAAGTTACAGGGCCGCAGCTGCGGGGACCCAGCCCTGGCAAAATGGGCTTTTTTATTCTGTTCAAGGACCAGAGGGAAAGGCGCCGCGTGCAATGAACGGTTTTGCTTTTTATTTTTTTTTTAAAAATTGCTCTATTTGTTATTCTGTTTTTAAGAGGAAAGCACAAGCCTACATTTTTCTTGTCATGGGCTGAAGTGAGAAGTAAACTGATCCTTGGGTGGTCAGTAGTTTTAGAACCAAGCATGGAATTGTTCTTTTGTAAATATTGAATTTGATGGCTTAAAAAAAAAAATTGGCCGTCATCTGGGTGGGCGAGAGGCAGCTCATGCCGGTAAATTGCACCGTTGTCCACCCAACCAGGATGGGCAGGCTCAGCTGGCTGGAGGGGAGCATGGCTTATTTTGGTGGCTTTGGCAATTTTGAAGAAGAGCGAGCTTCAACTGTCCCCACCACCCCCAAATCCGTAGCTGCAGACCGGCCGGTGAGCAGTCAGATCCGGCCTGGACAGGTGGTCACTCACCTGTGTCTACTAACAGCTTGGGCTCATCCTTTTAATCCCACACTTTGGCCCCTTTATCTCCACTTTATTGGTTTAAGCAATCTTTCCTTGATCTCAAGCACTGAGTATGGGCAACAAGAAAAGAACTGTCAATGGTCGGTATTTTTTTTTTCTTTTTTTTTAAAGAATTGGATTTGGGGGGGTGATCTCTGCACCCAGTTGCCTCAAAATTCCATTCAACAAAACAGTCAGAAGATTAGCACCCCCCCTTCCTCAAGCACCACACCAGGGGTACAGTGGGTTGTTTTCAGATCTTCATCTTTGATTCCCCCTCATTCTAAATTTATCTTGTCCTAAGCATCACACCAGGGAGATTGTTTTAAATGCTCAGATTTCTGGGTTCCAAACGAAGCTCATTAAGTCAGACCATTGGGGGAATTTCTAGTTTAAACCAGTATCCCAGGGAGAACATGACCAGGGGAACAGTTGGAAAACCCTGCCCTCTAGTAGCCCTTCCCTGGGTGAATCACTGGGGGCTGGTTGCCACACTTGCAGGTGCAGGAGAGTCTCATCCTGGGGCCACAAGATAGGAACTGAGTCCCTGAAGCATGGAGAAACCTGGAGGGGGAAAGATACTCTTTCTGATCTGAGCCCCCTTGGTGATTCTTTATTATTATTTCTCCCGCATGAATACTATTTGTGGAGCGATGCCTGGGGCTAGATTCTGGTTCCAGGAAACCCAGACCCTAACCCTTTTCCCAGTGATGTGTCCAGATTCTAGAAGGTTCGTTCCATGACTTTGTGGTAAAGGATGAAGGAGGGGGAGATTCTGTGCAAAGGGAGTTCTGTGCACAGGTTCTGGGCACTCTGGGTCTGAGTAGCTAGTGAGCATGACCGGGCCTAGGAGGGGCTGCTGAGAGACCCATGGGCAGAAGTTACCTCCCTCAACAGTGGAAACTCCAGGTTGAAAGAGAGAATGCTGGCCTTGGGCAGAGGAGAGACTCAGGGTCAGCTAGAGTGGAGGCCATGGAGCCTGAGACTCAGCCCAGCTGGAGGGACGAAGGAAAGGAGGGCAAGTGCCAGAAGAGTCCCCCACTCTTGTGAAACAGCGTGTGGGCTGTGAATAAGGATGAGGCAGAGATGGAACAGTGACTTTCGGGTGAGGTAACAGTCACAGCCACCCCCACTCAATGGCTTTGCCTGCTCCTAGGGATATGCACTATCTCACTCAGTCTTCAGAACAACCTTTGATCTAGGAACAAAGTACTCAGGAGTTTGCTTTAGAGCTGACTCACCTGGAGGGCTTGAGGACTCAGGTTGCAGGGCCCCACTCCCCAAATGCTCACTGATTTGGTCTGGAGAATCTTCATTTCTAACAACTTCCCAGGTGCTGCTGGTCCTGGGGCCCCACTTTGAGAAGCACTGCTCAGAGGACACCAGAATTGTCCAGAGTCCTACAGCCAGTGAGTGATAGAGCCACAGGGTGACCCTCTCCTGCAAATCAGGACAGGAGATGCTACAGATGTTGTGCTTGATTAAGGATTTGGTAGGAGAGTTCTGTAAATTGCTTTCAGGGAGCAGGAAAGCCCCCAGAGAGTAGGAAACTAAGTTGTATAATGAGAAGGAACCAGGCCTGAACATTCCGTGTGGGCCCTTGCACCTGCGAGGTGCTAGAGATTGAGGCTGGGGTCTCTCACTGCCTTCTCTGTGGGGTCTGTAAAATCCAGAGAGCAGTTGACTGAGCTTCTTCAGATTGTCTGAGGAGACACAGTGCTTCGGGGCTGAAGCACCCTGACCTGAACCTCCCAGGGCAAGGGCAGTTCTGTGACCATGAGTTAATCATGCACTTGGGGTACAGGCTGGGGCCTAAACGTATAGGGCAGGAATGAGATGAGGCTGTGGGTGGTGGGAGGTGCTGGGACTGAAGGAACTTGTTCTGATGGAAAGAGACCAAGTGTCTGGGAATTGAAATCAGTGCTGTATGGCCTCAGGCAACATGAACCTTAGTTTTTGCTTCTTTAAACTATGGGAGTATCTTCCCACCTGTAAGGGCTCCTCGGGCTGTAAGGAGCACAACTTCATGCTTGCTCCTGCCTGGTTCTCAGAGTCTTTGCTCCTCTGGCACACAGCTGCATATTCAGCCAGCTCTGGTGTCTCCTGCAGAAGTTCTTAAAATGAATCCAATAGGACAGGTTTCTTTCAAGTTTAGGAAACCCAGCTCACCATCAGATCACCCTCTTTGCTAGTGAAACCCTCACCTCAGACCTTATATCTAAGTTGCCCTTGATCCTGCCTGACCCCTGGGACCCAGGACCCTTCTGGGAAACTGGATTACCTCGCCACTGCACTCAGGAACCAGCATCCTGCACCACAACCCCAACCTGGAGTCTGGCTCCTGCCTTTCCATGAACAGGGGACTGGCTTGGCTTTCTGGCCCACTGAGCTCCTCTGGAGCACCCTGCTGCTCTTTGGATGCTGACCTCCCCTGCTACTGTCAGAGTCATGCTATATCCAGTATTTGACCTGCCTTCTAGTGGACTGCATGCAATTTGACTTGCATTTGAAAAGCTAGATACCACTTGTCTTTCAGCACAGAGTTAAATAAGTATGGTGGTCAGTCCTTGAGTCTGTGGGGGACAGATTCTAGGACACCCAGCTCCTGAGGTATGGATCTCTGTGGATGCTCAAGTTCTTTATGTAGAGTGGTGTCATGTTTGTAGTTTAAATCATCTCTAGATTACTTGCAATACCTACTACAATGCAAATGATATGCACATAACTGTTACATGATATTTTTTAGAGAGCCATGGCAAGGCAAATTGTCTAGTGTGTTCAGAATAGATGCAAAGCCTTTTTTCCAAATATTTTCAATCTGTAGTTGGTTAAGCCTGTGGATACAGAGGGCTTACTGTATATGTTATAGACCATATTAAATATGTTTAATATGTAGACCATATTAAACACTCCATAAAAAGGAATCACAGGAAGATCGGCCGTAACTGGAAAAAATGTTTCATGACACAATTTGATAAGATTAACCATGAAAAAATTTACATAAAATTTTGTCTGTGAATTTTAACCCATATATCTTGACATTTTTAAAAAAGTTTTTTTATTTTTATTTTTTTATTTCGGGCTGGGGACAGCACTTGCCTAACATGTGCAAGGCCCTGAGTTTCATCCCCAGCATAGCAAAAAGAAAAAAGAAAAAAAGTTTTAACTTTTATTTATTTATTTGTGTGGTCCTAGGGATTAAACTCAGGGGCACTTTACTGAATGTCTACAGACATTCCCAGCCCTTTTAATTAGTTAATTATTTGTTTGTTTGTCATGATTTATTTATTTTTTTAAAGGAGGAATGGTTGATTCGGGCTCAAGTTTCCAGAGGTTTAGTCCATAATTGGCTGACTCCATAGCTCTGGGCCAAGATGAGACAGAGCATCACGGTGGAAGACCCGCAGAGGAGAGCAGCTCAGGTCATTCCAGTCATGAAGCAGAGAAAGAAAACTGCTCACCTCACTGGGGACAAAGCACAAACCCAAAGACACACCCCCAGCGACCTGCTTCCTCTAGCCACACCTTACCTTCCTACAGTATTGTCCAGTTAGTCTACATCACTGGATTAATCCACTGATTATGTTAGAGCTCTCATATCCTACTCGTTTCACCTCTGGGCAATTTTTTTTGTTGTTGTTTCAAATATTTATTTTTTAGTTGTAGTTGGACACAATACCTTTATTTTATTTATTTATTTTTATGGGGTGCTGAGGATTGAAACCCAGGGCTTCGCACGTGCTAGGTGAGTGCTCTACCGCTGAGCCACAACCCCAGTCCTCACCTCTGGACATACTTGCATTGTCTTACACAGGAGTTATTGGGGGGACATCTCTTATCTAAACCATAATGTTCTGCACCTGATCCCCAAAAGCTCATGCCCATCTCACAATGCAAAATAAATATAGTTCATTTCCAAGAGTCCCCATGGTCTTAACTGTTTCAGTACTGCCAAAAGCCCATGTCCAAAACCTCATCTGAGACTCAAGATACCAAAATGATCAAAAACAAGCCACATATATCCAATATGTCATGGCACAGAGTAAATATTTCCATTCCACAAGGGAGAAATGGGGCACATTTCCCTATTTCCATCCCTTCTTTCTGTGCCCTGTTTCTCTGTTATGTGCTTCTGAGCTCCCACCAGAATTGCCCACTAAACTCCACTTTCAACATCCTGAAGGTTTTCCATCTGACTCAACTTTCCTGTGTACATATAGAAACACACCATAGTGAATCTCCACATCATGTACAACCCATGAAACACGCTTTCAACCCAGAAAATGCTCCATAATAAGATCAGGATGGACAGGACTCTGCCTT